AAAAAAAAAATCTTCTTTTTATAAATTGTTTTTTTCTTTTTTCATAGAGTTATCATAATGCGATTACTTCTACTCTTTACTTTTGTATTTATTATTATTCTACAAATAACATGTAATAGTAATCAATGTGGAAGACAATCAGAAATAATTAGTTGTGCAGATATTAAAGGACAAGCAACTTTTATACATGTGAATAAATATGATTTCATCAAAAAATTTCATTATTGATCTTTGTTTTCATTTAGTGTTGGGAAACTTCAATTGGTCAAGCTATTTATCGACTTGTTATTACTGATACTGTCGTTATGCTAGTTATCCATCTTGTTGTCGATCCATTACGAAGGTAATATGTTATAGAAAACTAAAACTGTACTTAGATGAACAGAAATATTTTCTTCGGCAATCCATGCTCAAAAAAGCAAGTAACTATTATCAAAAATCTCAAATGAAATGTAAAGTAACAGAAAGATATATAGAAGAACAAATTTTTTCACAAAAAAAGATTCATTTTGCCTATTTGATACAATACAGCATGAATATTTTACGTAAATCTTGAAAAGAAAACATATTGATCGTCTCGAATATGAATCATTCAACATATTTTGGTTTGATTTTAGTCTATTGACACGTTGCTGTTCATCAAAAGTAGTAGTAACTGAACAAGATGAAACTATAAATGGTACTTCGGAACCACCTGAAGTATTCTGTCTGTGGCAACCACTCCAATTTGAACTAGAAGATTATGTATTAGATTTGACATATACTCAAACATTGTGTTGGTATGTTGATATATTGATTCTTATTAGAAAATCAATGTGTATTATCTTTTAGGCATGGTTTAATTTTCTGTCCATTTTTACCGTTGATTTCAGCAGCTAAAAATATACTTATCTTTGTTGTTAAATTTGTAAGTGAAAAATAAAACAATAAAGTGTGTGTGTACTTTTGTTTAATTTTTCTTTAGTTAAGTCTAGCTTTATTTCGTAAAAGATCACAATTAGAATTGAGTCCTGCTCGAACTCGTCATATATTTACAGGTGTTCTTCTTTTTTCTTTTGTTTGGGCTTTGCTACCAATTAGTTTTCTTGCTACATCGTAAGTTTATTTACTGTGGAAAAATAAAAAGAAAATAATTATTTTTTCTATTGAATAGACTTCGACCATCTCGCGGTTGTGGTCCATTTCGTTTATATAGTCATGAACCTGACTTTTATATGTATTATTCAGTTCGTAATATTGTTACACAAATTCGAAATAATATTTTAGTCAATATCATACTTAAAATTACTAGTGCTGTGGTCATTATTCCATTAGTTTTAATTTTAATGTACGTATGCAATTTCATCGTTTTTGGTAAATGTTATTAATTGTTATATTTTCTTTTAGTTTATTTTCTTGTATTTTAACTATTCGGCGTAATAGTTATCGAGGAGCATCTTTAGAACTTTATAAATTATTGTATTCGGTAAGTTTTCATCTAAGAGAAATTTTTCTTGATTATTGTATGTTCTTTTTTGTTTTTATTTCTAGTCACATAAAGTACATCAACTAGCCGTAAAAAATGCTCCCGTTATTGTAACAACATCTCTTTAAATTTTGAATGCTTCTGTCACCTCTTATTATAAAAATATTTGTAAAATTATTTTGATGTGAGAAACAATAAAATAGAAAAAGAAAACTTTCTTGAAAAAATACAATTTTAAATGTCTGGATTGGGTGTGAATGTGATTGCATTCTTATACCGACATCCACACCCATCTGGTATACGTGGGCCAAACATGAGATCAAATTATAGATCTATAAAGACAAAACATTGAAAAGAAGTTCATTTTAGGTTACTTTTGGCCCACTCTGTATATATATCGAGCATCAGAAGTGTCGATCGAACAGGCTATCAAACTTTTCAATCCTTTAACTCTAAAATTACAATTTCAAGTTATTCTATCTCAAAAAGATGCTCAATTATCCATTCAACATCGAATTATCTTGAAAGTTGAACAAAATTGAAACGTTAAAAATGATCAATATATTGACTAAATGTACACGATGCCAGTTATTTAATACAAATGTATTATGGTTCTACACAGATCAATATTGAACAGCTTTGCCATCGAAAATAAAACAAAGATGAACAGATATTTCGATTGAGTAATTTGTTACAAAAAAAGAAAAATAATATTTTCGCTATCTTATGTATCGTCAATCGTCAACTGCACTAATTTTGTTTTTCATTTTCAAAGAAATACAAGACAAAATATTTGTTTAAAAGATGATATAAAACTACAAAGTCAATTAAGCTGTATCAATGTTAATTTAAGTTATTCAATGAACAATAATAAAACAAAAGAGTTTGTAACAGAATATATTAATATAATAATCTATATATTGATATGACACAATTATGATTATTATGCTAATAATAATGGAAAGATTTGATTCGTTGATATTCACAAATAATATCAACTCTTGTATGATGAAGAGACTTATTCCATTTTCTCGTCTCTTTCGTATGTTGACAAGACGAGATAATAGATGATGACTTCTGTAAAAAAAATCCAAGTCAGTCCGATGATGAATGCGAGTTAATAATAAACAGTCAAACTGCTCGTCGAATAGTAATTTAACGAGTTTTTACTTAACTACATCTGTTCAAAAGATTTTCACTTACTATCTCAAACTAATGTATGTTACTGTACACAAACTGTGTCTTGCACCATTTGATTTTTTCAAATACATCAATTATCTTTCAGTTAATTGTCGTATTTTCTTATTGAAACTCATACAGAAAAAAAATGAAAACCTTTTATTCAATTTTGATATTCTACATTAAAACTTCTTTTAGCGAATATGAATTCAAAAGAGATATTCACATCGAAACTTACACTATTCATTGTTTCTTTTTCTGGATCCTAAAAATTCAAGAAAGTGTCTCTATTTATTCTATGACAATTATTATCGAGTTTATTGGCTCTATTGTTATATTCATATATTTGTCATGAAGAAATTGTGAAATTTTATTGATGGTTCGGTTGGTATCGTAAGATTATCATTTGCCTTACTTGTACTTTAATTTTTAATCAACTAGTTAATTCATCATCATATCGACCAATTGAAATACTCTGTAATATTCGCTTATGTTTCAATGCACATTGTACAAAAATATTTTTGCTTCTCTTCGCTTTTTTTTCCTGAAACCAAGGATGCACGAATGAAACACAGAAATTAGCATACTAAAACTTGTCAATTATTTATTGAAGAAAATCTTAATTATTTTCACGCAATCAATTCAATCACTTTTTTACCTGAAGAAGAAGAAAAATCTTTTCTTTCTTTTTTTTCCTGTAGAACACTTAATCCAAAGCGTCTTTGTCGTATGTAAAGATGAACATAGAAATGCACTTGACAAGATTTTCTAACGATCAAGTAATTATAATGAAAAGAATAAGTAATCAAAACCTACGACAAGTTTTATCAATTGTCAACATGTTGCAACAAGCTGGGTATAGGTTTATTGAGAACAGATTTAGTAACGTAGAGCTAATCTCTTTTTCCTCTTTTATGTGAACACAGTATAAACATAACCTCAAAGAAAAAATTATGGATTTTCTTAGATTAAAAATGATTCAATGGTGTATTATTTTGATTATAATTGTCAATGTCTTATGTGATACAAAGTCGAGCAGATGGGTGTGGATGTGGGCGTGGGTAGGGTGTGGGTGTGTGTGGAGTGTTCTGTGTGAGTGTGGGTGTGGGTGTGGGTGTGGAGTGTGAGTGTGAGTGTGGGTGTGGAGTGTGAGTGTGGGTGTTAGTCTCCCTTCACCTACATACCACACCTACCCACACCCACACTGACACCCACACCCACACCCACACCCACACCCATACCCACACCCACTCCCACACCCACACCCACAAACACACCCACACCACACCCACCCACTTTTATGTTTGCTTGCTGTCGCTTTCTCTTAAACAAACACAAAGCGAGAACTTATAATAATACCATTCTATTCTATTACCAAGTAAAGAAAAACAATAACAATTCTTCCATTTTCTTCTCTGCACACATAAACAATTTTTGTTGATTCATATTCATAACACAAGATTTTTTTCTTAGTTGTTGTACTTGAAGAAAACATCACAAATCACTCTCTACTTCACCTCTCTGTCCAGACTTCTTGCTCCTTTTACTGAATAATGGCTAGTTCTTCGTCATCGTCTCCTAGCAACAACAGGAGAATTGTGTAGTTCTGGCAGTCAAATCCAGATCCGTGGAATAAAAATGAACAGAAAAAGTGGAAAAGATATTCTGACTTTGAAAATGACTTCATTGAAGACGCATTTCAACGAAAAGAAAGTGAAGTGCAGCTGAATGACTATGTGATCAACTTCCAGCAGAACATGCAGTTCAAGAAAGAGGACGAATACAGACAGAGACCAGTAGAATGTCGAGAAGTTGATCCAAGTCAGTATGTGAGAGAAGAGAGATTCTCTTTGCCAGACAGAGCAGTGAACTCATATGATTATGCGAGGATGGAAGACCATAATTTAGGGTATCAATGGATGATGAAAAACAAAAGTATTTGTAATGACTACTCTGCTGTTGCTGAACTAGCCGCTAAAGGTGAGTTTATTTAAATTTAACTACACCGTGAAGACGAATGCAATTTTCTTTTTCTTCTCCACAGGCATTTTGGAAGAAGGTAAACTTCTCAGGCAAGATTTGGTCGCAAAAGAAATGGCCCAAAAGTTGAGAAGTGCTAAGGATAGAGAAGAAATTCTTCGATGTGCTGTTCGTCTCTACACAGCTGAGGGTGTGGGTGTGGGTGTGGG